TCAAAATTTCAAGAGCACAGCTGCCACAAAACATACAACAATGAAACTGGAACTTCACATTTGATGCAGCAGACAGGGAGTTCTAATTTCATGAGTGATGTCACAGCTGTGTCCGAAATTTGTTCTCTAGAACATTTGAACTGATAGGGCATATTCAGCCATCATCAGGCAATTTGTGGACTCTTCAAGGAATCATCATTGATGATTTTTGATCATACGATTTTCGAACGGATTTATCAACCAACAATACTAAAGGGTGGATCAGCAAGCATGTAATGAACTTATCTTGCAAACTGAAGCACGCCAACGCAAATCAATTCCACCATCGAATAGCAAAGGATTTTCCCTAGCCGACGGTGTTGTTGATTTGGCAAGGTGAGCTTCGATTTGCGAGAAAAGATCATTACAAGATTAGATTACAAAAGCTGATCCGTCTTTTTGAATTGTTGGTTGAGATTTCACGACGTTCCTTTCTTAGAAACAAACGGGTGTCATCATTACCTGTCATGATACTTATAGAGTTGTGACCCGATATAAGAGATATGACAGATGAATCCGAATTCACTTTTTCAGTGACAGTGTCTATAGACAGTCAAGTTATAGACCGGCCAACGTGAGTTGACGTATCCAAACAAGCCGTCAAATCATATGGACAATGTTTGTTTTGGATGCAAAATGGCAGGTCTATAACTATGAGCGTCTATAACAGTGACAGCTCGTTCGTGTGGTGGATTTGAAAACGTGCAAATTTCTAATGCGTGTTGCAAAATGCATCGCACGTGTAATTTGATTAAAAATGTTAAACAGTGTAACACAATAAATTTTAATATATTCCCATGATTACAAAAGTCTGTAAATATCTGTGAAAAAAAAACTATGAAGTCTGTAAATGTCTGTAACGAAAAAAAAAATGTCGGTGAAGAAATAAAAGTCTGTAATTTAGCAGACATGTCTGTAAATCTGGCATCTCTGTAGACTCCCCATTTACTCTGTTTACAAAATGAGCTTAAAAGATGGTTCCTCATAGTTAAAAAAAAGCCAAATTTATGACATGGAAATCTCGAGGGATAGACGAAGTAGGATGAAAAATTCAAGTCGATTTCAGCTAAATTTACTTCTTTGGAGGAACCAGCCCACCATCAATGACTGACCATCTGGTGGAGAAAAGTAAAGGGAGCCAGGCCCTCGAATTCATAAAACGTTGTCGAAAGTTGAAAAACATACCAGCCTTCTTCAGATCTTGCAAATAGATGACAATCGAAATAACAACCGCCAGCAAACTACTGAAACTGTTAGTTAGCGGGAACTAGCTGGTTTCCGATCCATAGCAGTGATTTTATTCGGCTAAATAATCAACTCTTCGAAAATTTCTTTTAAGCGTACATCCCTGCATCGTTGGATGGTGCACTTCGGTAACCATCCGGAAGACGCGGAGCTTTTTCGGGAACGATTGCGCTTCCAGCTGTTCAAAATCCGAAATGTTGTAAAACAGTATCGCAAACTATCTGAGTAACTGCTTCCAATCCATCGGGAGAAAACCGCCTGGAAGAACAGTGGATCCCACAGCGCAACTAAATATCGAAAGATAAACAAACTTTGACGTTTTGAAGGCAACTTTGCCTCCATAAATGCTGCCATAAATCTGAACGGGTTAGGATCAAGCAAAATGGCTTTAAATAAATACAATTCAGCCTGCAAGTTTTCTTCATAAATGCCATTTTAAAACCTTATGAATTTGTTAAGGATTTCTTGCGAGCAAAACAACTTTTTAACAAAAACTTTTATGTCACCGCTATGTTACAATTAGTTTGCTTGTGTTTTTTACAAATTTTGATTTTAAATCTATAGTTCCTTGGATGTATGGTGAATTTTGCAATGAGCAAAGATGTAAATGCAAAAATCATTAAAAAAATCTTTTAACTCGATCTGAAGAATATTTTTTTTTCAATATAAAATAATTAGTCAAATCGACATTTTACGAGGGTGGACTTATTTTTTTAAGAAAATCAATCTAAAAGAGCTTTGAGAATACACCCTTAAGAACCTTCTCCAGGGTGGGCCATCAAGCCATATTCTAGTCCTAATGAGGTTTTGGTGGATGCATTAATGACTAAATAGCTTTGACCAGAGTTTTATGAATGTTGTTTTACAGTTACTTTGTAATATTTCATAAAACTTAAAATGTTACTTGTAAGAGTTTGATCTGCTGTACGCATGCAGGTTCGGAGGCAACTTTCAACCCCGACAGCTTCGGACAAATTATCCTTGTGAAAAGCCATCGTCTTCTACTTTCGCTCTTTTTTTTTCGCCACCCACTTTACCACAGGGCTGAACCAATTTCAGTGCAACTACAGTCAACTCTCCACATCTTGATATTCTATAACTCGATGGATTCGGTGGTCCCTTCATTTTTCCATGCATCGTACTATTCTTAAATCGTTATTTCCCCAAATCTATAGCTACTTTGGTCGATGTTCTATGTAGTGTTATTTTGATTCTATAACTCAATATGTCAAACACGGTTTGTAGGGTTTTTGATCTAATTTCCGTCCTACTTAACACAACCCCCGCTTAACCTCTCTTTTTTGAACGGGTTTAAACAAAAAATTGAATATTGCTGTCAAAGATGGCCTCTAAATTTATTCACCTTTCCATACGTAAATGGTTGAAATTAGAGAGGGTCTAGGATAGGAGAGGAGCGGATTCAAAACAAACTACCTTGGCAACCTATGCCTAAGCGATTTCTAGCAACACTGCCAATGCAATCAAGATAGGCGCTTGATTGGCTCAGGCTTTGACAGTTCGTTTGGCTCAAAACCAGCCAGTCCGCTCCTCTCTTATACTAGACCCTCTCTAGTTGAGATATTCTTTAAAATCTATTACTGCTTATTGATTCTACATTCGTTCTACGAGTTTCAACTCCGTCCTAATGCATTGAAACGCCATTAGATTTTCTTCGTCCTACGGATAAACGTAGAAAAAGGGGATTCGCTAGGAGCGTTTCTTTTGTTTTGAGAACAATGAGCGTAAATATTCATACAATGCGCTCTTATGGAATTTATGTTGTAGTAAATAAACGTATCGGAATAAACCTATTATTAATTTGTACACGGTGAAATCATTAATATTATTAATCTTTTCTGATCGATACCCTATATGGAGAAACTCTATTACAAAAAATACAAGGGACAGCCCTATGGGGTTGTACGCAATGGTGACGTAGGACTACGTGATCTTATATAATAAATGCTATTTGTTAACTGCAGCAGGAGCTTGTGTTTTGTGTAGGTATAGGAATTTGAGCGGGGTTCTCTCTGTTCATACTCTTTAGTATGACGCGCTTAGCATAGATGACCCACAGCGACTCACGAAGAGCTACTGTTTCCAATCAATAGCGGTGCGGCTTCTTCCTCCTTCTATGGATGCTCATGTGGGCTGCAGCTCGCTGCTTGCAGCCAGTCTTTTGTTGAGTACTGGAGAACACCACCACTCACCACGCGGTGAATAAAAAAACCGGATGGAATTCAACTTTGAAATCTGTGTTAGGGAAAGCGCTTTTTGCAGGCAATCGGTGATAATTTTAATTATCATAGCAATAGTTGCATATTCGTGCAATTTTCAAAAGTGACATTTTGAAAAATGAAAATTAATTTTAACAGATTCGCAGAAAAAAAAAATAAAAGAATTAAAATCTATCATCTCTGGATCAAAATCAGACCACTTTTATACTGCGAAGGACTTTGGTTTTTGAAATTGTACCCAGTATGTTGCCAGATATCTAAATGGAGCTGGAATTAGACAGATCAACTTTTGTAAACAATGACTTCTCTTGATGATTTTTAGTAGTTCAAGGCACGCCCACGCAAACCAATATTACCGTCGGGTAGGGGAAGTCTTACCCTACCTGATGGTGATGTTGATTTGCATGTGCGAGCCTTGACTTTCAAGACATCATCGAAAGATGTCATTGTCTACAAAAACTGTTGCGCTCTAATTCCAGCTCTATAATAATATGGGAACTGACATCCAATTGATGACCTTGACAAATGTCCAAAAAATACTCATACAAATTTATGGAGGTCCTGAAAAGGACCGTTTTGTCGTGATGGTTGAGTAATGCTGAGCTATTAGGGTGTTAAACACAGATGAGGTTGGTGAGCTGAATGTTGTTTGGAATGAGGGTGACGCGCTTGGCATAGATGGCCCACAGCGACTCACGAAAAGCTACTGATTCCGATCAATAACGGTGCGGCTTCTTCCTTCTTCTATGAATGCTCATGTGGGCTGCAGCTTTCGTTGTGTACTGGAGAACCGGACACCACCACACACGGTGATAGGAACTGAATCCATTCAGCGGTTGAGTCCAGCCTTGATAGCTAGCTGCTTGCGGGAGCCTTTCGTTGTTTACTGGAGAACACCACCACTCACCACGCGGTGTTTGAATAAACAACATTTGGTGTGACCGGATGGAATTCGACTTTGAAATCTGTGTTAGGGAAATAGCTTTTCGCAGGCAATCGGTGATAATATTAATTATCATAGCAACAGTTGCATATTCGTGCAATTTTCAATAGTGACATTTTGAATAATGATAAAGTCTTAACTTAAGCAGATGCCTAGAAATATTTCTGATCGATTAGTGATAAAATTATTGAAATTGGTTCAGGGGCAGCTGAGTTATTAACGTTCAAAATCTTTCATAATTTTGTTATACGTTCCATTTTCGGTTTTCACAAAGTGTACCCCCATATAGAAATCACAGACGTGGTCCTACGTCAAAAATAGTAAGAGGTTGTAACCAAGACACGACCGTAGATTTGACGTAGGATTACGAAAGGTAGTTTTGATGTCACAGCAAAAGTATAGTATATAAGTTATGGACCACCTCTCAGCAACAATTCCAACATCAGAAGACATCACCCATCGGGTAGACATAATTCAACGAAACCAACAACAAGTGGCCTTATCATTGAGTGCAATTTCGCGGCCATCATCTCCAGGCAAATTCAAAGTCACAATGTAGTACGAATGGGGACGTCGACAACAACAACAGCATCATCATCAGTAACATGCTTCAGCCCATCGGCAGCCCGATGACCACGATAGCATGCACCAGCTTATCACCAAGAACGCCAATTCAGCACCAGATGACAAATTCAACAGCTACAGTGACGCCGACGATCACCGCATGGCAACGGCAACATCGAAGCAACCCGATACCGCACGGTAGCAGGAGTGGACAGTACATAGTACAATAATTAGATGTAAGCATTTTCCAGGAATATAAGCTCTTTTGTATTTCGAAGTAAAATTCAAATTTATGCAATAAATTATTCCAGTTTTAGTCGTACACGAGAGCAGTTGTGCTTTTTAAAAACATCTCGAAGTCAGTGAAAAACATAATTTATATTAAATTGACTTCTTAACTCGTTATCAGTGATAAAGCTTGATTGGTTGCAATTCGGAAGCTATTTGAGAGTTCTGTTTGTGAGGTGCTCTATCGATGTCTATGCAGTACAAGCCAATCCTGGACGGAAATTAAATATGTATTAGGGAAAACACATCAATCACAGAGTCTGAGCCTACCGGACGGTACCTACTTTTTGTTTTGGTCTTTATTATAGAGATTTTTAGCCATATGGCTAGTTCATCTCTTAAGATAGTAAAAAAAAATAAAGAGAAAAAAAAATTGGGTTCTCAGAAGGAGATTCCCAATCTTGGCTGTGGTACATTAATCTTGCTAGAATGAAAAGGTGTAGAAAACTGCCAACAAACTGGAAATACAAACAAGGAACACTCAGATATTGTTGTAAAGGTTCGCCTCCTTTAGGAAGGTGATGAGGGCGGCTGATGCCGGAGACTCGTCGCCCAACAGGTTCCGAATGCTTATTGATTCCAAGGCGAAGGTCCTCCAGCTCCGCGCAGTTCACGAGGATGTGCTCCACGGCGGCTGGCACTCCGCAGATTTTGCAGGTCCTCCAGGAACGGTGTTCCTCTGAAGTTGTGGGAGACTCTGCTGTGGCCGGTGCGCAGCTTTGACACAACCCGTTGTTATCTTAGGTTTGGTCGATCCTTCCAGGTTCCGGTGGTCGCCTTGATCTTCCGAAGGTGGTGTTTCCTGTTGTTCCTCCACTCGGTGTCCCAGGCTCTCCGAACCGTCCGCTTGATCCACTTTTTGACATCTTGGAGCGGTACATTGCCGGTGGAGCTGGATCCAGTGTGGCCTGAGCCGGAGAGGTGGTCGGCTGTTACGTTCCCTTGGATCCCGCAGTGACCGGGTACCCATATGAATACAGTCCCTTGGATCCACGGATGCTTCGGTGGTTCTGTTGTTAGGACCGATATCACACTGATTGAGTCAGTTACGACTAAAATCGGCCGGTTGGCCGGTAACTTAACCGCGTGGAGAATGGCCGCTGCCTCAGCTGAGAACACCAACCATTGGGTCGGAAGCGATCTGCTCACAAGCAGACCATCTCTGGAGACCCCCATTCCCACTCCACTCTTAGAGAGAGAGAGCCGTCGGTGTACCTAACTTCATGACCTTGGTAATGCGCCCCGAGAGTTTCGACAACTGTCCGGCGTAAGGCCAGCGAGTTGTCTCCTGCCCTGAAGCGGTCCTTGATTCGGCTGTCAATTTTGTTCTTGTGCGATTGCCAACTTTTGTCTCCGTACCAGTGGACCCTGGCCACTGGAAGGAGATCTACTTCGGTGGCCATGCGGAGCAGTCGGTTCGCCTCGTCGAGTTCCATAATCTGGACGGCTTTCTCGGCGGCAAGGCATGTAAGCTCTACACCGTACAGTAGGCAACTGTCGGTGATGGCTCGAGCAACGCAGAAGCGGATTTCACGATTGTTGGATCGGTGGGGACGGTACCTACGTTTATGCTTTTTGGTGCAAATTTTAAGCCTCTTCTATTAAGAGAACCCGGCAAGATTTTTTTTTGGCATTATTCTCTTAATAGGAGGGGCTTAAAATTTGCAACAAAAGGCATAAAGATTGGTACGGTCTGGCATGCTCAGGGCTTGGAATCAATATTCGTCGACTGTGTTAGAGAAACCACTTTTCCCATCACGGAAATGCCTCGTTTTCTGATGTCAAAATAACGCATTTTCGTGCACAAAACGCACAGAACTTTTGGTTTATTCAATAGATAATTAAATAAACCGTTAATTGATTGGAGGAATTTCTCGCTAAAATTTTTCCAATCGCGAGATATTCGCGATCAATCATATAAATTCGAGATTTTTTAGCTTTTTCTAGCGTCCTGGAGAAAACCTTACGAAGAGTTCCTGGTTAATTGACAAGGTCATGTGGTATTCGGTCATTGCGAGAATTTGTATGCACCACTTCAATACTTGATGCATTTGACCACAAGCGTTTGGTTGCTGGGTACATTATCAAAGAGATTTGGGGGTGATGTGGCTGGCAGCAAGGCGAGCGAACGTTCAATGAAAATTAACTCTCCTGAAAAGAACCGTTTTGTCGTGATGGTTGAGTACTGCTGAGCTATTAGAATTCAGCACAGATGAGGCTGGCGAGCTGTTTGTTATTTGGAACGAGGGTGACGCGCTTGGCAATGATGGCCCACTGCGGCTCACGACGAGCAACTGAATCCGATCAGTAGCGGTGCGGCTTCTTCCTGCTTCTTCGGTGAATGGAGCTCGCTGCTTGCGGGTAGCCTTTCGTTGTGCACTGGAGAACAATGCTGATGCTGCTGATGACGACCGACCAGACACCACCATACACGGTGATTGAATAAGCACCGTTCGGGAGACCGGATGGAATTCGATTTCGAAATCTGTGTTAGGGAAAGCGCTTTTTGCAGGCAATCGGTGATAATTTTGATCACCATTGCAACAGTTGGACATTTGTGTAATTTTCAATAGTGACCTATTGAAAATTGATAAATTGTTTATTTAAGCAGATTTGTAGAAAAATTTCCAATCGATTGGCTTATTTAGAATTGCAATCCATCCGCTATTGACAGAGTTATAAGTGGTCAAAACCTGACCACTTTTCGTAACGCAGTCGATTTTTGTTTTATTGAAATTGCACCCCCAATATGTTGCCGAAAGACGTAATCCTACGTCAAGTGGGTACACCACCTGTGGTCGATGTCACCGATTTGAACCAAAATTGGCCGAAACGCTTATTTTGGCATTCTGAACAAACGCCTTTTTTGATTTTGCTTTAAAGTGCCCAGATCCTTCTGGGCTACAACCCTGTATTCTCGAGATTTTTAAAAATTTCAACTTTCAGAAGAGATTACTCCACAACCAAATAGCCTATTCGTGATCTTAGAACGTATATTTGAAGGTTTTTCAATGTTAATTCTTATAGGTGTACCCACATTTTGTTTTTGTTATAGTAACTACAGTAATCAGACTGATTACCGACAGGTATCCAAATTGTAAAAAAATGGCCTATTTTCACCATGGGTGGGATTTTTTATTTCTTAATATTCAGAAAAACTCTTCTACTTGATGTGTTTCCAAGGGCAAATGATTTGGACAAATAATTTTTAAGATATGACTAGATGAGTGAGTTGGACTTTTAAGCTTTTCTGATAGAAAATCAATGCTATTTATGGGGTTGACCCCGACATAGTGGTTAACATCCATGCCTCTCACGCCAAAGTCATGAGTTCAAATCTCACCCCCGGACAAGTCACGAATGACCCAGTGACTATGATAATAAAAAAAATGCTATTTAATATTTTTTATTTTTTCTTGAATTCCTTCACGCCATGGCGCAATTATAATTTTATGTTATTTTTCACATGTTCTGGGCAGGATTTTTGTTATATGAAATCATAACTAACTAATTTATTTACTTATGTCTATAATTTAATGGTGTGTGTGTGTGTGTGTGTGTGTGTGTGTGTGTGTGTGTGTGTGTTCAATCTAATCCCCACTGTCCGGCAGTGTTATTATGGACGAAAATTGCTTTTTATTACCCTTAAATTAAAGCAGGTTTAGTCCGGGAGTCAGAAGGTGTTAGCTCTATTGCAGCTCCAGTGACCCATTTCAAAATACCTGGTAATTCACGACCACTCCGAGGTCACTTTTACTTACAACAAGCTCGGCATGTTCAGTCTACCTTTATATTATTTCCAAATCTGGCACGTATATAGTTTTGAAATTTTTTCAACTGTATTAAATCGATTTCAATGGACATTTCTTATCAATTTTGTTTCGAATACCTCTTGATTCATCTGCTGGCAGTCCTTACTGGCCCTTATCGGTGACCAACGCGTCTGCCCGCAAAAGCAACAACGCTTAAATCTCAAAGCTTTCCGGACGTCTCCTTGAAAATGCAACCGAGAAATGTATAAGAACAATCTTCAACTGGAACGTACTCACCAAATCAATACATCCGGAGGCACATTCCCGATGCTTATTTTTCTCTCGCAAACTCGTCGTCGTCGAACGGCAAAAAATGGAACTCGGTGAGAAATTTTGTGATACAGAATTTTCATTGAACATAAACTGCGAATTCACAAATTTCACCACACCCAACTGCGAAACACGTTCAGAAGCACTTTTGGTACACTTTATGGTCCGGGAGAAAAAAACAAACAACGCAGATGGCGACATCTCTTCTGATGCTTGAAAACATGATGAATGACGTTTTCTTTCTCGATTCTAAAACTTCCCGGAAAGCGAGAAAACCACCAATCACACACGCATAACCGTCCGGGACGCAGAGTGCCAGCGCTTATCCGGCAAATGCAGTCGAAAACTATGAAAACGAACGCACTCACGCAACATAGAACAAACTTAAAACACAACCGTATCCAAAGGGGTTCGAAACTGCACTTAATGTTGGTCCTAAAAGTGAAAAATACGTTCCTATGGGACACACCCAAAACGTTGTACTTTAGAAGTACGATGAAATCAGATCGATTAGCAGGTATATAAAATTTCAGTTGTGGATGCCAGTTGCTACTTGAATAATACCCTTATTTGAGTAAAAATTTTTTTTTAGATGCAATCTCACGAGCAGCAATGCTTTTTTTTATTATAGTTACTAGTTGAGTCTGCCGGGCCTTGCTCGGGATTCAATATTAGCTTGAGTTTATGCGCCAATTTAAAAAAAAAAGCATGCTTAATTGTACGTAGCCCTCCCTCCCCCTATTATCTAAGGGGCTACCCCCTATGACCTCCACATGCCAAATCTGGTTCGATTTGCTTGATTAGTTCTCGATTTATGCAGAAATTTTTATTTCATTTGTATGGGAGCCCCCATTACAGAG